TGTGTACCATTGGCAGGACACTATTAGCAACAAAGTACTGTGGGAAAGAACAAACCAGATTCCAGCGGAGGAAGAAATCAGGAAAAAGCGCTGGAAGTGGATAGGACACACATTAAGGAAAGCACCCAACTGCGTCACAAGACAAGCACTCACATGGAATCCTCAAGGCCAACGGAAGAGAAGAGGAAGACCAAAGAACACATTACGCCGGGAAATGGAGATAGACATGAGAAAAATGAACGAGAATTGGATGGAACTAGAAAAGAAGGCCCAGGACAGAGTGGGTTGGAGAATGCTGATCGGTGGCCTATGCTCCATTAGGAGTGACAGGTTTAAGTAAGTAACATCAACAAACGGATAGTCAGGTAAACTCAACTGACGAGTTCTCAATAGGATAAAACATATGACACCTATTTTAATACTTGACACTATCTAAAATATACATATTTTCTATCGTAAAATTTTAAAATTATATTTTACAGATCATTATTAGTAGTATCATTACTTTCATTATAATTCATGCAACTAAGTAAGTCCAGGCATCGTCAATTGTTGATTGTAGTGCAGTATATATACACATACATTTGTACCTGTCTATCTAACTAGGTCTGATGGAAGGTACTAGTCACAGGGGTTAAACCCATATATCTTGATGTATGTATTGTTTACCTATTTCTATCAATGTTAATCAATATAATTCATCTGTGTATATCTGTAGTATTGTGTGCATATATGATTATACCAATGCCTAAATGATGAAAATAGGTTATCATAAATGTATATATAGGTTGTTTGCCAATTGATTAAGTATCAAATTGATATGAGAGTCTACCATTTTATCAATCATCATTAAAGTGAAACTTGAGATAGATGTGAATTAATCGAAGTTGCCATATTGCACTGTCATGACGCAATAAAATTAATATGATGATTAATAAAACAAGATCTTAATAATGAAGTGGCGATAATAGTTAAACTCCGCCTGTAGTTACTGCTGGTCCAAAGCCCGGATAAAGGAAGAGGGTCGGGCATGGGATTAGCGACCTCATCCTGTAGAAAACTAACTCGCTAAAAAACGCTAACCAGAAAAGTAATAATAGTTAAACAGACTAAGTATTGAGTAACGGTAATTGATCAGTCTCTGATGACATATTTATATTTAACGGGGATTACTTCAATTTAGCCTTTTATCACAGGTTTTTAGTGTATCATTTAATAGGTAACCATCAGGGGGATTGAAGATGCACGTTTAATTTAGATGACTTCCATCATGAACCTAAATGAACTGAATTACCATTTATTAGTTATATGAATATATACATATAGCTTTTAACTAAATAGTCTAGTCTTCACCTGAAATGACCTACATTTGTTCACATATTGTAATGTATGTTTACATCAAAAAACATAATTAACAATAATGTAAACAAGTTTATATTCATTAAAGTTATATAGTGGCTAGTACTCGCTTCGTTATATTTCGAAATCGCCAGCTAGTTTTATTAGAATTCCAGTTTTACTGCTCGTATTTACAACCTAATCCTAGTATCTTTTATTTGAAAAGTCGACTCGTTATCCAACGATCAAACGAGTTCAATGATAGATACCACCTTTTAGTGCAACAAAGAATACAAGTACATCCAATTGACGAGTTATGTATCTAATGAAACTCAAGTCCTACATCCTGTTGTTCATCAGAATTTAGCTTTACCTAAAACTTGTGAATAAATGACAATATAGAGGCAATCCTCTCAGGGTATATATGTTATTAAAGACTGACTGCTTATAACACATAACATCAACAACTCTTAGAAGTAAACTTTGGTCTACTCAAAGCTGAGTTGGATATGATCGATAACAGATTCTTGTTGAAATGACATTGGAATAAAAATGCTTACCTTTTGGAAGATTTCAGTCGAACCGGTCGGTACACAAATTAAAACTAGCAAAAACACTGAACTGAGGAATTTTAACAATAGGAAATTGTATAGCTCAATTATCCAGTGCCAATTTATTCATTTAACTAAACCAAACGGTTTGCTTAAATACTATTTGTACAACCCCACTGCTGGGATCAAACTAATTAAAAGGACTTTTATCGAATGAAGCACGAAGTGAATTTAGTTAGACAACTATTGAAAACCAGGAAGCACAGGATAGTGACTTTGAACTGGTAATAGTAAACTTCAGTATTCTGCATCAACGACCTCCCAGGGGATCATATTCAAGAAATTTTGGGCTCGGGGAGAGCGTTTTCGATTAGTGAATCGACGCTTAGTTACTTATATTTGTTACTTTAGTTAATTTAGGATGTCGTACAACCATCTAATAATAACATCAATGGGTAACTGGCTCACACTCAGCAACAGTGAAATCCACTGATCACAACATCTAAGCAAAACCTCGGGAGGTATGAATCTGAACCTACCTCCCACAGTGACTGAGAATCAATTATTTTGGCACCTAAGAAAGGACGCACAATAAAAACAAAGTTTATAATCAGTTTTTTTATTACTAAAGGTCAATATCTCTACGAAAAAATTATAAACAACAACTGAGATTTTAATATACTTAAATAATCGATGTATCTTTTTTTCTGGTTAGCGTCTTTTTAGCGAGTTAATTTTTTACGGGATGGGGTCGCTAAACTCATACCCGACCCTCCTTCTTTATTCGGGCTTGGGACCGGCAGCAGCCCCAGAGGGGCTCTCGGAGGGACCAGACAAAATTCCAACAGAGGCACTGAACCCTAGATGTAGCAGTAACTGAAAAGATACTCCACATTCTCTTCAATAAGATTCGGGATAAAGAACAAGTACCAATAGACTAGAAAGAAGAACACCTGATCAAGATACCAAAGAAAGGCGATCTCACCAACTGTGATAACTACAGGGACATCATTCTTCTCTCAATACCGAGAAAAGTCTTCAGCAGAGTATTGTTAAACAGAAAGAAGGACTCTGTAGACGCACAACTTCGAGATCAACGGGCTGGATTGCGTAAGGATCGATCGGGAACAGAACAAAATCACAACACAACGGATCATTGTGGAACAATCAATTGAATGGAATTCGTCAATCTATATCAACCTCATTGACTACGAGAAAGCATTTGATAGCGTGGACAGAACAACACTATGGAAGCTTCTTCGATACTACGGTGTGCCTCAGAAGATAGTCAATATCATACGTGATTCCTATGATGGACTAAACTGCAAAGTCGTGCATGGAAGACAATTGGCAGACTCGTTCGAAATAAAGACCGGTGTCCGGTAAGGTTGCTTACTCTCGTCCGTTCTCTTTCTTCTGAATCCGTTGACCGGACATTATCAGCAACAACTTACTGTGAGAGATAACAAACCAAATTACAGATTTGTATTATTATTGTGTCTCTATAGTTATCATTAAAATATTTCCTATTTCATTCAGCATTATATTTCAGAGTAAACAGTTTGATAAAGTTTTTCAAACATACCTCATTAATTCAGAATTCACGATGTTGTTGATGTTTATTCATGGTAATGATAATTTAATAATCTATGACGCTTTCTGAATATAAATAATTTAGTTGCTAAGCTGTCATTGTCACATTGTATAATATTATCAATGATTATTCTTAAGACGACTGAGGTTATCTTCAAATATTTCAATGTTCATTGTGTCAAATCTAATAATTTCGATCATTTAAAAAAAAACTCATTTTAATAGTTGAAATCATGAGCCAATTGAAGCTAGACAACGATGGAAAACCTGGAAGCACTGGATGACCGTTTCATCCTATTGTGGGACTCCTCAGCAGTGCGTATCCACGATTCGTAAAATGTTAAAATTCATTTCGAGTTTATTATCAATTATTTGAATACATAAATGTTAGTACAAACGGGCACCGCAAAGATATTCGTCATACTAACCATTTGATTTGTGTGAGGTCTGGGATATTGCCCGGTGCCAAGATCACACCAGGTGGTTTTCTAAGGAGCCTTTGACCTAAAAGTCTAATCCACAAGGCAATGGAGCAACGTCAGGAGATACAGTCGCATGGTAGCCGGTGACTAACAACTAGTCCATTTGCCATTTGTTCCTTCAGAATTCTGGAGCCGATTTTCACCATTGGTTTTGAATTAGGGTTTTTCAACTCCCCTTTATGGATACTCCATATTCACCGACCTGGTTGAAGCGTTAGACATTCGCTATTCATCCTCTCAATTTAATAGAAAACACCCCTGGTATGAGAGGGAAGTGAGTAGTGTTATACCCCGATGAGAATAATGAATAGTAACTTTTGGGATCCATTTATGGACCAATACTAAACGTATATTTTTATTGTATAATTGTTAAGTAATTTACTTTCTCATATTAGTGTTCCTCTTAATATAAGCTTTATTTTAACCTATAAACTATTATTATACAATTTACCGTTCCTAAGTTATATCCAGTCTATCAATTACTATCTCCCACATCCACAGCCACTTTTGGCTAGATCTTGTACAAATGTTGTTTCGTATTTCATGGTACGATTTGGTCTGTTTGATTGGTACATAAATCCTGTATGTTAAAAATAAAGAATTCATATTATAGAGGCTGAGATTGACGTTATGAACTCAACAGGCAGGGCTAGTCTGGAAGCTGGAACGATAAAAAGACTAGACTGCTCTAACGAATTTTATGCATTATTGGTCCTATCGATAAATCAATTTTCTCTCATTGGCGATATCATTACGTCATATATTAATAGGACATTAGGGCACAATTTATAACAAGTAGGTGTTCCGTGACAATGGCTGTATACACGTGATCATGTAAGAACTAACTCTCCCCACCCTTAGCTGTACCATGGCATTTGTTGTTGCTGTGGATGGGTGGGTGGCGAGAGGTAGTATTCATTTTCAAGCTAAATCGACATGATAACCTATAATATAAAAAAATATTAATTTCTTTTCTTTTCTTTTTCTTTTTTTTGTCATTTAAGATCATTGAATTATTATTTGATTCGAATTATCAAATGATTCATTTAGGTCTTATTTATCCAATTACAAAATCAACTAAATGTAGTTTAAATGTCAACTTATTCAATCATTCCAGTGACAACAATGATGATAATGATAATAACAATTATCATGAAGAATTGATCCATTTACGTCAATCAATTGAATCCTATCGTGATTCTTTACAAACTGATCTAATCGGGACAATTCAATCCTCTGAAGCTGTATTACATTTAATTGATCAATTACGTTGTCTCCCTAATACAAATCAATCGATTACAATGTTAAATAGTGTAACTATGTTATCACCACCATCTATTGATATCCATTTAATTTATCGTCAATTGAATACATGGAAAGATCAATTAATCGATATATTGATTAGTTGTGGTACCAATGTATGTTTAACTATTGTATTCAATCGATTAAATGCTTTAACACAATTTATTGATTTAAATAATCTTAATCCTAATCAATATAATAAGAATTCAATCGAAATCATTAAAACAAAAGAATTATTATATAAAAAATTATGGCCATCTTTATCCCATATGAATGAATTAAATATTGAACAAATCAATCAATTATATCAATTCTGTGAAAAATCAATCAATATCGATCAGAATTATGTCTGTTTAATGACCTTGGTGAATTTAAATTCCCGCATTGAAAATTATGAACAATTTGATTATTTTAAACAAATTATCAAACATATTGAATATTTATTAAATCTATCTAATCATAATCATAATTTATTATTAACAATAGGAATATCATTAAGTAAACAATTACATTATCCGAATTTAACAAATTCTTTATTAGAATTATTGTTTAATGATCAATTACCATCGATTATACATACATTAATTATTCAAGCAATTGGTGAAATACATTTTTCAAAAGATTCTAATCACCATAGTAACAAAACACAACTTATTGAAATTACAACAAAATTAATTGAAATCTTTTTAACTATACCAATTCATTTTAATAATGAAATATTAATTAATTATGAAATATTTAAATTATTATTATTATCATCACCCTCTTATTTATCTTCCATAGAGATTACTTATTTATTACGTCAATTATCTAAACAACAGAGATGGACATTAATTAAATTATGTCGTCAATTAATTAATCATTGGTGTCAATTACAAGTATTGAATAATCATGAATGTGATTGTTTAAATGGTTTATTACCGAAATGTCAATTATATTTAGCTGGTAGTTGGTATGGTTTAATTGGTGATCATAATTATAATCAACAATTAAAATTGATTGGTAAATCAATATTATTACATAATGAATTGATTCATATTAATAATCAATTATTGATTGATTATCATTCATATCTTGTATATGATTCATATAATGGATTAAAATTATCAAATTTTATGATGAATTTAATCAGTAAAGATGATGAAATATTATTATTTAATTTTAATATACAAGCAAATGAATTAAATAATTTAATTAATTTATCATCCCGTAAACAACAACCACCACCATCACCACCATCTTCATCTTTATCATCGACGAAAACATTGACGACGTCGACCTCGACGACAACGACCACTGGAGAGACATGGGTGAATTATGATTTAAATTATTTAGGTATATCATTATTACCAAATGAATTATTTTCTGGTGGATTATCAAATTTAATGAAATTATTTTTATCAACAACAAATCAATTTACATCTTTATTGAAAATAATTCAATTACCAATAGATCAAAGAATTCAAACAACTATATCTTCTGGATGGTTAATACAAATTGATCATTTAACTATATTTACAATGAATATATTAAATGCCATAGAAACTAATTTATGGTATTTCACAGGACGTAATAATCTTAGAAGTAAAATTGGTTTAATCAATGATATAAAAATTCATTTAGTTCAATTTTATAATGAAGATAATACAATGAATATGCCTAGATCCCAATTGTATATTCATAAAGGTAATGCTATACAAGGTTATATTGATTTTATTACAAATATACATATTAATCATTTACCTGATAGTATTTGTTTATCAATGAATCAAGGTGTGAATACATTTATTGTACAATGGTATACAATGAATAATACTACTACTACTACTCAATATTCATCATCGACTACAATACAAAATCCTTCTTCACCTTCTTCTCCACCTTCTTCTCCGCCTTCTTCTTCGCCTTCTTCACCTTCTTCTTCTACTTATCATTATATATCGAATTATACATTACAACCTGTATCCTATTTTCTAGGTTATGATAATTCATTACAATGTAATAAAATGAAAGCAAAAACGATTTGGTGAAATGGTTTTTACCACTAAGAATCAAATTTGTTTATTTTTTCAAATTTCTTTCATGTTTTTCTTTTTGCTTCTTTCTTCTCTGTTTCATTTTTCATTCAGAATTGTAATTTGTGTTTCTAGGAGAAAACTTACTCACTTACTTAGGCTTGTTACTGTTCGTGAAGGAGCATAGATCGTTCACCAGCATTCTCTATTGGTAGTTCATCTAAAGTTATTGCCGATTTTAAGATCGGGTAAAAAAAAAGAAGAAGGTTGACCATAGGATTAACAACTCCATCCCGTAGTAAATTAACTTGATGAGATTATAATTGATAAATGAACAGAATAGATTTAATGCGTAATTCATTCCTTCATTTAACTAATTCATCATGGAAATATGATATTGAATTCCTAATTTTAGTAACTAAGTAGATATCTTTATGATCGATCATGTTACCATGGTACAAATCTTGTCCATAAATTATAATCTCTTATCACACTTAATCACATAATTAAGAATATTCATTTTTCTAAAATCTCTATGTCAAATTATATATCTTGATTATTTTGTTATAAATCAATAAAATGGGATGTTATTGTTTAAGTTGCATAATCTAGTCATAGAGTTTCCATTGTTTATCTGAATCCCATCATCATTATCATCATTATCATCATTCTATGGATCAATATGCAATTGATTTAATTAATTTAATTTAATAAATTGTTTAGCATTTAACTTTGTTTTTATTTTTGGTGTCTTACACTGTACTCCAAGTTTAATAGCATATGTTTATTATGTTATTTGATTCAATTCACATGAAGCTTAGAAGTCGATGTTACCAAGAATCAGTGAATCGATGTTTAAAGTTAAATGTAAATATTGAAACCATTAGGAAATCAATCGGTAACTAGATAAACACTTTTTTTTTCAAAAAACGATACGGATCTTCACGGTAAAACGTTGTTATAAATAAATTCACTTGGTTTTGTTTTACTTGTATCGTCCCATTGTTATTTAAGACAGCAATTGATCAGTCTCATGTTGGCATTTGTGCATTCTGTGCGGATGGCTTCGATATTGACTGAAGTCAAGACTCAGTAACTAAATGGATAACCCGATGGTATTTGAAGTCAATTGTACTGGGTTCGAATTTCAGTGTGAACATCAACTCTGGGATGCAGGTACATTCAACTGACGAGTCCCAGATAGGACGAAACGCGCGTCCTGGATTCCACTGCTAGCCACTATCCATCGTTGTTATGAATACTTCTGTAAAATCATTTAGAACAGTAAGTCATTGTAAGAAGGCATCCTTCAATAAGTTCGAGGAACAAAACGTCGGTTTACTAACATAATGTAAATTTTGATAATGCAACTTCACATGTCTAAATGAGAGAATTCAAATTGAGTGTTGTTCTAAGTAAATAGTTTAGTATCGATCGGTTTTATGAATCTTCTAAGTCTAATTTAACGAGCGCTAATACCTCCCTGTATTTCTTAGTTCATGCTACTGTTCGATTTTCAACCCACTTCAACTTTATTCCATTATTAAATCATTACAGTCGCATTACATGTAGATAATACAATGAGTGAATTTGGATTTGCCAAGGGCATTTGATGGTAATGTTGTATTCTGCGAATTATCTGTGTCATCAGAATCACATTTGGAAGTTAAGCTGAAACGGTATACAACAAACTGGCAAGTGCAGAGTCTTCTTTTATAAAATTTAGAGCAATTAGTTCCTTTGATAGATTTCGATAGTGTCATTGTTAGGTTTGCAGAGGAATATGCCAATAATTATCGTGTCAAGTCGAATGGTGTCCTTGGACGTTAAATGTACATTTCCTATTGGTCGATATTTGCTTCAGTTGTTTAATATTGTGTAAATGTTGTTTCCTATTTTTATGGTATGATGTGGTCTGCTTGGTTAGTATATAAACAGAGTGTGTTTGAAATATAATGATTCATATCTCAGAGGCTGTGACTTTCGTTCTGGACTCAACTGGCTGGGATAGACAGGGGAGCAGGGCCAATCAGGGCACTAGGTCGTTCGTACGTATTACCGTGTCACTGTAACCGATCGATCGATATAAACGCTGCGTATCAAAACCTGCAGTCACTCACACTCGTTACAACAGTCATAAAAAGACGAAGATGATCAGAACTATATGATGATAGATTAGCGCAATCTGATCACACATATACTTGTCATAAAATTGATCTTAACTCTGCCTTTGTGGCTATCCAGACCGTTTCATAGATAACAATATGAAAACAACTAATCGCGACAAGAAATCTGGTTGTTCCGTTCCAAAGAAAAATCTATATATAAGTTTGTATGATCGGACATCTGATGTAATCAAAAATCGTTTAATGACAGCAATTAAAAGGACATTTAATGCAGCAAAACTGCGAATAACGTTCACTAGTAGGAACTTATTTTCTATATTCATAAAAGATAAGCTTCCCCATTTGGTCGTCTACATGTACATATATCAGTTCACCTGCTCTTGTGGAGTAAAGTACATTCGTCGTAGCCAATGTTTGCTTTCAACTCGGATACAGGAACACGTCACAGTTTGGTTCTATAAGGGTGAGAGGAAAGCAGTTAAGAGTTGTATAATTGAACATCTAATCGACTGTAATCATTCTATGGATCTGCAGTTTCCTTTTAAGGTTGTATATATCGTTCGTACAAATCTATCCAACTCCTAAAACAAGCCGAAGCTCTTACCATCCATGGGCTCAGTTTGGAACCATGCATACAAAAGAATTACGTCCCATGGTTATTGTTACCTTGGTATTATTATTTTTCCAGCATATTTCTCCCTTGACTTATATTTTATATTCTCATTCATTTATTCATAATTACTCATGATATCACTTTATTTATTTCGCATCTCTATTACCTTTAATTACCTACAATGATTGTAACAGAAACATTTTAATCATCTTAACACATTCACATTATAATTCGTTATTAACTTATTAAGTCTATTGTTATTACTTATATTACGTAATCTAGTAGTAGAATCATTCTATTACATCATCTTAGTTAAACCTTGTTGATATTTCCTCACGGAATTAGTACTTTAACAGAAAAAAAAAACTGTTCAGATCTATAAACGATTGTACAGCTTGGTAAGTAATTGATTGACAAGATCCCTTCACTGAACTTCGTGTTTTTAATTTTTGTGATGTTGTACAAAATGGCATATACTAAAGTTTATTAAAGCATTAGCCATACGAAAATTCAAACTCCCTTTGTGTAGTCAAAAACGATCTGTTCTCATTTTGAATCTACCATGGAAATATTAATTCATTATCCAGAGTGATAAAGTTTCAAACTGTTTTCTTTATTATCCTTGCCTCTTCATACTCTGCATTTCTAGTGTAGTTTAGTTCTTAACAAGTATATTATATGTGATCAAATTGTTCGAAATGTATTGCATTAATCCATTTTCACATACTTCTGATAATCTTCGTCTTCTTCTTATTACACTATTGAAACTAGCAGGTGTTACGACTACGATGTGATGTGTTGCTCCCATCAATAAGCCATAGAAAACCATAACTTGCAATTTTAGGTATCATTACTAAGATTTGATTTGATAATTTCAAATAAAACTTGGATTAATTTTGATTTGGTTATTTATCTTGTGAAGTAGCGGTTTAAATTGAGTTACTGTTATAATGGTTGAGTTTACAACGTTCACATGAATGGGACGTTAATTTACCTTGGAAGAATATCTTCACTAGATTCCCCTCCCAGTGTCTATTCTACGGGACTTCAACACAACTCAGATCAAGAACACGTGATTAGCCTGAGAAGAACGTAAATATTTTTCCACACCAAAAACCCGACATATTCCAACAATAATAAACAATCAGTAATTATAAGGATACGGGAATATATAACTCATTTGACACCTGTTGTTGGACATATGTAATACATGTCGCAGTCATCTCAACTGATGAAGTTTCACTATTTCATCAATTGATTTTACCATCCTTACCTAGTACCCATTTTCTAACAAGTGCATTACTCGCTTGGTGATCCCAGGATTTACATGCAATGCTTCGAAAACACCTATGATCGATTACTCTTATCGGCATAGTAAAAAAGTATCAAATGAATAGTTTTTATGTAATGAATTTACAATACTGTGATAAATATCCTCAACAACTATTCCTAGAATATAAATATCTAGTTTAATTGTATTAGTTATGTTGGGGTGATCCAGAAAATTACTTGCAAAAGACAAGCAACCATCAGGAAACACTAAAGAGCGTTTCATCCAATCAGAGTTCACTTGAAGTTTTAGCCCAAAATATCAAGGAAGCGAAACGTCACATGCAGAGGCTCTGATTGGTTGATTGCTACACTGCTACTATGTTGAGTAGCATTCCAGAATCTTCTAGCAACCCAAGGATATTTAAACTATTATCAAAACCCTATATTTTCTGTATTAAAATGAACCTTGGAGTAAAGTACTTCTTGCATACTTTGAATCTTCGCTCTCGTGTTAAGGTCGCTGTATAGTTCTAGCTTGGGGGGTTACAGAATAGCTTAGGAGACGAATATAGCGTTCGATCCGTAAGACTTATCAAGTTATCTGATCTGATGAAAACATGAAGTCGTTTTTTAAGTACACTACTACATAAAGTAATCTGATCAATAATAATTCCAATATTGAATACAAGAGAGAAGATTTTTTAACTCATGTGAATGATTTTGATAAAGTTTTGTTCTTTGAGCTGAATAATTTAGTCGTGGAGATCTCATCCTTCATCTTCTTCTTCCCTTTCTTCTTCCTCTTCTTCTCTTTCTTCTTCTTCTTCTTCTTCTTCCTCTTCCTCTTCATACTCTTCCTCTTGTTCTTCTTCTTTCTCTTCTTCTCCTTGCTTCTTCTCTTGTTCTTCTTCCTCTCCTTCTTCTTCCACTTCTTCGTCCTCTTCTTCTTCTTCTTCCTCTTCTTCTTCTTCTCCATCAACATAAACTTCAACGATCCAGCTCATAGACACAAAACTCTATCAAAAACTCAATATAGTACTAAACATGATGAAAGAAACAAAATGATCAATCTAAATTTTATGTAAAACGGTAATAATAAACAAACAAATCAATGGAGTGAATCTTTTATTTATCTTTAGATCATCTTTTTTGTTGATTAAAATGAGTGAAAAAAATAAGTTGAAAATAAATGTTTACAGGAAATCAACAGATTCCGAGAGATACTTAGATTTTAATTCAGCCCATGAACCGTGTACGAAAATTAATATTGTATAAAGTTTAATGAACATAAATACTAAGCTTGTTACAGATAAGGAAGATCAACCAACTGAATTAAATAAAGTATTTTCTACTCTTAGGAAGCAAGAGCAGCATATTTACAACTGAAGAACATTTGGAACTCAAAGTAACTGTCAACCAACACCAAGGTCAGGATTCTCAATACAAATGTCAAAACAGTATTACTGTATGGGGTGGAAACTTGCAGAACAACGAAAGCCATTATCCAAAAGATACAAGTGTTTATTAACAATTGTCTACGCAAAATACTTTGGATCCGTTGGTCAGACATTATCAGCAACAACCCACTACTATGGGAGGAAACAAACAAGATCTCAGCGGAGGAAGAAATTAGGAAGAAGCACTGGAATTGGATAGGACACACATTGAGGAAAGCACCCAACTGCGTCATAAGACAAGCCCTTACATAGAATCCTCA